ATAGTTTAGATAATAAATTTTAGTTGAAAGCGAGAATAGTTTATATGGTTCAAATAAGATTTCTCAAAACTTAATTGGCATGCATATTATATATGCAGGCAGCATAATGAATCGAGACAAGAACCACAATAACTAACTAAACTATGTAAGATCTGGAATCTAGCAGAATTACTCCTATTGGTCGACGAGGTTGGCAATTCCGTACAGAAAAAAAAAATTTCCGTTTCACGCACATGAGCTTTAGTTTAGGTTATTCGGGCAAACCACCAACAATTTCGGTTACCGGGATTTGATGTTGTGCCCGTGGCTGTGAAGGACGAGTTTCAGCTCAACGGTGCACCCTATGACACCTGACCTTGAACAAAAACAAATATCTAGCCCTCAAAGATACTGTCGTTCTGGGCCAGCAACTCGGAAAATTAATCATTCATGGCGAAGGAGGTGGTGAGCTGCTGGCCTCGTATTTATCACCGGTTACTTCAAGGGTTCCGGGTGGCTGATGAAGTTGTTGGGGAACATGGTGTTCAATCCATCTCTTGACCGTGGCATCTATGGTAACATCACACATTTTGATTCTTGAACGCTCCCTTGTATTTGTAAACACGAATTTTCCAGCGATGAAACGAGACAAGAACATGTGTACAAAATAATATTTTGTATTAATTATTTTGGGGTTACAATCTCTTTATAGTTTGATCATCTAATTCGATCTTCGTAAGATGTAGACTTGTAGATATTTTGTTGATCCAAGGGCCGTCGAGGCTTGATCTTGGATGAACGGTTGGAAGTTTCTTCAAGGGCCTTAGGGGGCTTAATCTTGAAGGTTGAGGGAAGTTTTTTTAAGGGTCCTCGGGGCTTGATTTTGAAAGTTGAAGGATGAATAGATCTTCAAGGGCTTTTGGGCTTGATCTTGAAGAACGGGGATTAACAGATCTTCAAAGGCTTTTGGGTTTGATCTTGAAGAATGGATGTGTGGATTTGTTGATGTTGTTGATCCAAGGGGTTGTTGGGGTTTAATCTTAGGATGAACGGATGATGAACGATGAACACTTTCTTCAAAGGTCGTTGGGGCTTGATTTTGAATTGGGGAAAGTTCTTCAAGGGCCATTGGGGCTTGATCTTGAAGGAGGATTTGACGAAGAACGAAAAGAGCTTTTTTGATCCTTTGGGATTTGCTTGGGAGTTTTAGAGTTCCAAAGCTTCAAGGTTTTGGTGTGATGTGAATTAATCAATGAAAATGAATGTCTTGGTTTCCTATTTATAGAATTCCAAAACTTTATTTTTTGGATTTAAATAATCAGATGAAATGAATCATTTATGTTAGGTGTTGACACATGTCTTGTTTGATGATTTTTCCGATGATTTTCGATTTTTCGTTGAGTCACATGTTACGTGTAAAATTTATGTGACACGTGAACATTGAAATTTTAATTATTGATTAACATTTATTTCATCTAAATTTCAATGTCTACAGTATTTACAAGTGGAAGGAAGATTGACCACCAAGTTTCCGCCTCCACCGAAGAAATACAAGTGAGAGCTTAAATAGATGGATCAATAGGTGAAGTAGCATATGTACACTTCTTTCTAACCATAGCAGATCCAGGACGAACCCAATTCCACATCAAAGCCAAGGCTTGCCATGAAAAGAACCAGATAGCCAAACAACAGGCGTAAAAATATGATGGTGCGAAACGAAGACAATTCAACAAAACATGGAATACTCAAATCATGAACACTCCTTTCACCATGAAGCAACAATATAAAGAGTGCCGACCAACTTTCTCTGGATATGCAAATGAATCATTCATCCATTGACGGAAATGCCTAGCTACGATTATTTTCAGGCAGAATTCAAATAAAAAATAAAGATTGGTTGATAGTTTATCAAGAACTTCAATTCTAAAACAACTGGTTAACAATCAGCACACTAATATCAGAAAAGAAATATTACGCATAATTCAAGTCCGAAAAAGGAGGAAAATGGAAACCATATCTAATCTACTCACCTAACCTCAAAATCTATCAACAAAAACAGTAAAATGCTCCAAAGCAGCACATACATCATTAACGATGATTATAGTAACAGTAAAACATAAAAGTTCACACACAACAGAAAGCATTTCTCATTTATCATTAACCCCCAATTAACACAAAACTGCTCTGAATGATAAGACCTCAATCGACCTTCACTCTAATTGCAAGGAAAAACAACTTTCATTGAACAAGGAAACTGATACAAATTCTTCACACCGACCTATACTCAATGTATAGCTTCCGAGTTCCATCCTTCCTAACTAAAGTAATTGGAGAACTTGGTCTAATGAACCCAGAAGGAATCTGAAAAATAGGCTGAAAGTCCTTCGAAACAGCTTGTAAAGCTGCATCCTGTGGAGAGGTTAACTGAGAAGTACTATCTGTAGTTGAACCAATTGAATCAACTTGCATTACAAATAGAGAAGCTCGGAAATAATGATCCTGATTGAGAAGTTTGTCCATTTGTATAAATGAGATAGACTGTGGATCATGAGTTTGAGGGCTAGAGATGGAAAATGTAGTGCTACCAATCACAAACTGCATCAACATCCTTTCAAAATCCCATAAAACTGGTCCCAATGTTCTCAGCCATTGACTCCCATAACAATATCACAACCACCAAGAGGTATAGCATAAAAATCAAGTATGGTTGCATAATTTTGAATTCTAATAGGGACCTTAGCCAAGCAACCAGTACTTGTAAGTGAACCACCATTAGCAATTTTTATAGTAAATAGGTGTGGACATAGAATTTGACGCAGAACAAGGAGATCGAGAAAATGATCTTACCTTCAATTTTGTCAACTTGCTGAGAATAAGCAATGGTTTCATGGACATCAGAAGGCCTCAGAAGCTTGACATCATGATGAATTTCTGGTTTCAATCCCCGGATGAAACAACTTTTGAGTAGGCTCGGATTGATATCCTTCGTTCGATTGGCCAAACAACAGAATTTAGAGACGTAATCCCACAACAAACTCGTTTGACGAAGTTTAACAAAATTTTTTGCAAAATCATCAAACTCCGACGGCCAAAATTCACGGCAAAACACCATAGTGAAATCCTCCCAAAGAGGGTAATTCTTGACGCAATTCACCCATTGAAACCTTTGCAAAGCTTCTTTCTCCATGTGAAAAGAGGTCATTCACACCTTTTCTTCTGGTATGTCAAAATACTCAAAGTAATGCTCTGCGCTATAAACCCATCCAAGAGGATCATCACCGTCGTTGAATGTTGGAAAATCTAGTTTGATCAAGGGTGGACGATGTTGAAAGACTTGATCTTGATGATTGAAACGATGAATTGGACGATGGGTTGGATCAGACTAGGCCGCATCAGACGATTCATTTGGAATTTCCTTATCGATGCCCCTATTAAAGAGATCTCGATGCAATTGTTGTAGCGCCATATCGAAAGATTCTTGACAAACTCCCATGGCGACGAATTTTGACTCCAATTTTGCTTGGCGCTCATCCATGGTGTTGAATTTCTGGAGAGACAATTGAAGGGTTTTATGAATTTCTGATAATTGGTCGTGAGACTCCATTGCTTGTTTCGTCAAAGCTTAAGTCATACGCAACAGAGAAGGGATGTGAGGGAGAAAGCTTGGCTCTGATACCAATGATAAGACCTCAATCGACCTTGACTCTAATTGCAAGGAAACTCATACAAATTCTTCAAACCGACCTCCATTACAATTGATAGCTATATAGCCTATTTCTGAGCTCATCTAACCGACTTACAACAACAACTAACCATGGTTTACAATAACCCAACTAACAACTAACCAAGGTTAGACATATCAACAAACAATTAACCCACAGTAAAGAAAATACAAGTAAAAGTAACTAATATTTACAAACCAATGGAGGAATGCCACCTGGCATCCTAACACTGAAAGTCTACAGAACCTGTCCTTCAGCATTAGAAGTCATATATTTGGATTTTCGATAAGCAAAACTACCATGGAAGCATCTCCTTCTCCCATAATCCTTCATGGATATTCACATAGATACTAGTAATAGATTTAAAAGACTTCAAAATCGACGTTAATAGGGTCATGGGATTGGTGGCTTAGCAATGTCCCACTTTAAAGTATTGTGTCATGTTCGAAGTCCCATTAAAGGCTGCACAACAGGATAACTGCACAATATGGGATTCATGAGTACCTCCCACGACCCCAGATTCCACCTCCGAGTACGGAGTACCTATAAAAACTAGAGTCCTAGCAGGGATTTGACATAAAAATAAAGGAAAACATCCAAACACAGCTCAACCAAAATTCTTTTGACTTCAGATACATCTAAAACCCCAATAGTCATTTAATGCCTTCGTCCACATCAACTTGTACCCAGGTAGATTACTTAACTGAGCTCCAAAAGATTTCGTCTTTCAGTCTTCACAAAACAGTCTACTAAATCATACCAAATTGGACTTGTAAGGAAATAATTTTTTGACCATCATCAATTTTATTGGATCATCATTAATCAGAATAAACATTTGAAGTTCTACTAGATTGTGCATCCAATCTATTATGGCTACACTAACAAAACAATATATATATATATATCTATTAGTTTTATCAGGAATGTGGCAAAAGATGATATAACAGAAAGGGAATTATCTAGTTAAATGTCCATAAAACAAGCCATTACAATATTAAAACAGAATATCTCTGGCCGAAAAAAAAAATAAATAAATAAATAAATAAAATCTGTTTTTTAAATATAACACTTAAAAAAAAAAAAAAAAAGAAGGACAAATAACACTTGAAAAAAGAAAAGAAAAGAAAGAAGGACAAATAACTCTTGCTGGGTTAAAGAAATGCCAGCTACTAGAAAGAGAATTCTAAAACGAGGATCAATGGAGAATAAAACTAAACAAAGCTCCAATACCGCAAACACTTGAGCATTTCAATCCTAATAAAACCAATGCTGCATCACTCACAAACCACGAGACAAAAATAATATCAAAAGGAGTTCAAGCACTAGCCACTAGTATGTATAAATATAGTGCAGGCACATAAGAGATCCAAGTTAAATTTCTGAAACATTCTACAATTTAATTACAATCTCAACTCAAGTTATACTAAAGTATCGTAAAGGACCAGAAATCTTACACGTATGTGCCCTGAGCAGCAAATCCGACAAGAATACATTTAAGAGCGTATTATTCTCCCACAAACTTGCTTGAAAATTCCACATTTACTCCTTTTAAAATGGCCTTCTAAAAAACTCACCCGTAACGTGTTGAATTTCCTCCCCACCCCAAAAAACAGTACCTAGTTCCATGCACATGACTGAGAGCAGCTAAAAATCACCGAGACTCCCAATCCTTCAATTTCTTGCTTCCTTTGGGTTTTGCAATAGGCACATTCATTCCTGCCATTTTAGCATTATACTTTGCCCGAAGAGGATCATTATATGTCCACCTGAATTACAGAAAACAGTAAATAAAGGTGCTTGTAAAAAAACAATTTAGAGACTTTTTTATACAATAAAATAAAACAATCATGACCAACATTAGGATGTAGATAATGTGGAATTCAAGACCACAAGGAAAGCCAAAGTGGATCTCATTAGTGATTATAAAGCAAAGAAAAAAAAAATGCATCAGACTATGTTTGCAAACTTTTGTTCTCCATCAAACAAAAAAAATCAAAATCAATTGATGCATACCATGAGACAGTTCCCCCACCCCCCTCGTGGGTGAACTTTAAATGCAAAGATACCCACGTGACATAATAACCAAAAATAAAAGAATGCTACTACTAACATATAGAACCCATCTAAAGTAACATGAAAATGGAAACATGGTCATAACAAATAGAAAACAGGAACTTCTTCAAAGCTAAGCCACAAATGGTTTGGGACAAAAGTGTCCATATGACCAAAATAGTACCAACATAGTTTATAACTCACCGTGTATAAAACTTAACTTAAATATCCTAAATATTGACTTTAACATATTCTATTCTATTGTAGTTTGTAGTCATTCCATTTACACATTAAGGATTCTTGCTCACTCAACGCAACTATGGAGTCTCGAAATTGTCACGAGATACAAATATAATGATGTAGGATACAAGAGGAAGGGAGAGGAAGTAAATAGAGATCTGGACAATGGAATCACTACTAAAAGTTTGTAGGATCATTCCAAGAGAGAGACTAGAAAAATTTGCAGTACTATAGTACCCCTCAACATGTCAATTAAGGTGTCTTGGACTCGCCTGAAGTTCATTCAAGCTTCACATGTCAGCAGGAAATCACATAAAACTTATATTTATTTCAATCTTCACCAATATTCAAAAATACAAAGTAGTCATTTTTTAGGCACTCCTATCTTATGTCGAATCCTTACAATAATGAATCCTAAGTGGAAAAGAGGAGTACTTGGATCTAACGAAGACATGGCACAAAACCGAGCGCAACGGCATTCTAGGATTCATATAGCCGACCCCACCTAGTAGGAAAAGGCTTTGTTGTTATTGTTGTTGTTGTTGTTGTTGCATGTTTTGCTACTTATTATACTCTGAAAGCTACATTTTCTTGTGTTATGTTGGTTCTAAATGAATGAAATTACATGGTTTGAAGAAAAATATGCATTCAATCCTTTTTAAGTTCAATTCAAGTAAAGTAGCTAGAGTTTGGTTTTGTTCAGTAAATGGATTGAGTTGAAGTGTGTTTGTCATTTTTTTGTTTAAGTTGAAATTGGTCTTATGTGATATTCACAAGTTGGGTAGTTTTTAATTACATTTTTGGCTTATCCAAATCTTATGCAAGTCTTCCCTTTAGAAATTAGACAGCAGCAACTTATATGGTTGAATTTTTTTGTAGGGATCATATTGTTTTACAAGTCTAAAAGTAGCATTGACTAGTCAACTAGACCATTCACTTGCACGTGGCTTCTCACCAATTCCGTGGGAAAGAGTTTTTATTGTTATCTGTTCCAAAAGAAAGGGAAGGTTGCATTCACCTCTTGGCATTCTACAAGGGTAGCCAACAAATCCATTTCAAGAAAAAGAAAAGAAAATGGTAGTGTTCAATTCCATAAACCACCAGATTGAGATAGTACTACCTCCACCAAATTTTCAGTCGGTGAATCTTTGCGAGAAGATGAGGTCGGGAGCATTGGGTTGATTATCTTAACTTTCGAAGATTGGGCAATCTTCGAAAAGTGGCAAAGACGACCTGGAAGGTGAAATTCGAGTTGCAGAACAGAAAAGGAAAGCAGAGGAATCTTATTTCCATATTTTCTTGCTCCTAATTTGTTTGATTTTCTTGTGGTATGTGTTCTCTTCTATTATGGGTTTTGGAGTGAAGGCACCAAAGAGAGAGACTTGGTTGCCGCATAAATGGGTTTATTGATGGCAAAGAAACGGTTATCTGAACCAAAGGGGTAATCAGCAGCAAGGAGATGAAAGGCACAAGGGAAGGCATCAAATGGAGAAACTAATCAAGGGGTGCTTTAATGTACCCAAGAGTGGCCAGCACATAATTGAAGACTTCTACTGTTTCCTCTCTTTTACTGTCAGCAATCAATTGGGGTTAAGCTTTCATTGGATACGGAAACGTAATGTTGAAAAATAAACCCCGCACACTAGACCTTGTTCTTTAATGTAACCAACGGCAATAGACTAAACTAGCAAATATTAGAAAACTTAGAAACACACAAGAATTATACTGGTTCAGCAGAACTTTTGCCTACGTCGAGTTGTGATTTCTCTAGGTAGAGAAATCACCGCTCCTTTGATTAATAATAGAGATTACAAAACTTTTGCAAACCCTAGAACTAATCTCAAAACTCTTGGCTGTCTGGCTGTTTTCTTTCTCTCTGTAAAAATCAGCCTTGCCGCACCCTATTTATAGACATAGGGTTGGCTTACATGTCCCAAGGCTGATTAAATTCCTATTTCTAAGTGGACTAGGAAATTACACTATCCAAATCCAAATAGACTTCTAGAAATCCAAACCTAAATTGAATAAGGAAACTGAAATTCTTTCCTAATCCCTCTAGGACAAGAATCGGTATACCTCTAGGTTTCCTAAAACAATCCTAAACCAACTAGGACATATTTGACGAGCCAAAAACCTAACAAGTAAAAGGGGAAAAGAAGGAAAGGAATGACGGAGCACGCAGCAGAGACATACGGAAGACAGCAGCAGCAGCAGAGAACAAGGATTTTTCAGTGTTTTTTCTAAACTCAATTTTCTTCTCAATTTTATTATGAATATAGTGACAATTTCATCCATGTTTCGGAACTAATTTTCCTTAGCTAGGGCTACTATGTAGACATGACTATGAATGCTTAAATTCTGAAGTGAATTATTTTCAAGTTTTCAATTATCATTGAGTATCTTTTGTTGTGCTTATATGCTTGGTTTTAGTCTTGGTGATTAGCTACCATCTTGACTTTTACTTAGTAAATTTGATGCAAGTTGTGCAAATGCCATGTTTTCAACTTGAGTGATATCTTCTTGCAAATAGATACCATAAATTACCTAGTAGCAGATGCCATACTCTTAAGATTTGTGTAGTCTTTATATAAATTTCCATGGATCGTAATGAGTTTCATTAAACTAGTCCAGATGCCATGGATAGTTACATAATGGAATATATGTAATAGTCTAGATGCCATAGATATTACATGATTTAGGGAAATTTGACTATCAATGAGGTTGAGTACTTGTTAATAATTCACTGCAGAAAATAAGTTGGATTAGTTATGGTGAGTCGGACGCTCTAGTGTTTTACTCAACTGAATTATAATTTGTTTTCTTGGCTACCACTTTTTGCGTTATATTCAAACTTTCTTACTTTTGATATTTGTTTTCACTATTAGTATCAACTCTCAAAACCATCATTATTCATCAATCTTTGTTAAATTTTACTACGTTGCAAATGGATTTAAGTTAGTTGTTTAGAATTAGATTAATTTATGTGGGACGATATTAAGTGCTTGCTTTCTATACTATCAAACTACTCGTACACTTGTGAGCATAAAATTTGGAACTAAGTTGGACTAATTTCGATTAGTTTAAATTTCACAACATGAACAAATGGAAGACCCAAATTAATATGCTCCAAATACTACCGGAGCTAATATTCTTTCTGATTCCCTGATGCATCGCATACATATCCAAGGAATATTACCTATTAGTTGATGACTATATCAAACTATCTAAGCCAATATACAAGACAAACATGAAGTGCCCGATGAATACATTCATATTTTACTATTCTATTCTACATGGCATGATATCTTTAAGTTTACTGACAATTCAGCGAGATCAGTCTTTCAATCCTTAATTCACTTAAAATAGGGTAAATTACATTTTCATACCTCAGATTTGAGGTCTATTTCAATTTCTTACAACATCTTCAAAACATTTCACTTTCATACCTTAAGTACTATTTTATTTCAAAATAATACATCCGTTACATTTTTCATCCATAGAACCGTTAAATGCTGACCACATATATGCCACGTGACTGCCAAATATGTGCCACGTGGCAAAAAAAAAATTAAATTTTTTTCTTAAAAACCTAAATTAAGTACTATTTAAATTATTAAAAAAAATTTTAAAAAAACCCAAACAAACCCAGAAAACGCAGAACCCATCTTCTCCCTCCCCTCCCGACCCCCTTACCTTCACCGAGCCCAGACCCTCCACCTCCAATGCTCTTCACCGCCACCATGTCCAACCCTCTCTCCCCTCCCTCCTCAACTCCCACCTCGACGCCATCCCCGCCGAGCCCGACAATTGCTTTTGGGTTCGTAAATGCTTTTTCTGGGTTTCTGGGTTCGTAATTGCTTTTTCTGGGTTTCTGGGTTCGTGTTATGTAACCTCACCCATCCTCGTCTATCTGTAACCTCACCCATCCTCGTTAGAAATGAAACAGCTAAAATCACTTTTCTCCCAACTAACCTAAACCCTCACCTTCGCCCTGCTAGCTACCACAATCAGTGCTCTCACAAATTAGTGAAATCACAACCGCCGTTGATTGAAAAATTCCGTGGCTTTTTGAAGCAAATAAAACTTGGGTTGCAGGGAGAAAACCCCAAAAAAATCCCAATTCAACGAAATGGTTGTCCTGGAGACGAAATCTCAAATCCCCATTTTTCTTAGTTCAAAGCTTCAGCTTTCTCTTTAGAATTAGAAATGAATAAAAGTAAGAGATTAATTTGTGGGAAATTAAGAGGCTTGGGTTGTTGGTTTGCAATGATGCACAACTATTGGCTGAAGAATGAATTATTGGTTATTACAGTGTTGGTGGTTGGAGAAAAAAAATAGAGGAATGTGGGGTGGGGCGGAGTTACCTCTCTGTCTTCGACACCCACATGGTGGTCATGGTAGGGAAGAAATTCAATGTTGTCGAGGTAGCAGGGAGGAAGAACCGCAGCAAAGTCATTGATTTCGGGGCTTCGTGGTGGCTGCAGTTTGTTGTCAAAGGTGAAGGCAGAGAAGCTCCGGGGGCTGATTGACAGGGTTGGTGATGATGGGGGATGGGAGAAGGGGGGTGCTAGAGTGGGGAAGATGAAGTGGGTCGGGGAGGTGAACAGGGAAGAGTGGATCGGAGAAGACATGGATTTAGGGTTTGGGTTGGGGGGTTGCGGAGAAGGGGAAAGGGAATGGGTTTCAGGTTTTTAAGAAAAAAATAAATTTTTTTTGCCACATGGCACACATTTGGCAACCACGTGACACAAACGTTGCAGCCACGTCAGTGTTTAACGGATCAATGGATGGAAATGTAACGGAGGTATTATTTTGAAATAAAATAGAACGTGAGGTATGAAAGTGAAATGTTTTAAAGATGTTGTATGGCATTGTAATAGACTTTAAACTTGAGAGACTACTATGTAATTTACCCCTTAAAATAAGAGTAGGAGAGATGATGCAAATTTAAAACGTTCCTTAAGAAAACAAACAACACAATAGTGTTTGTGGAGTTCCCATTAGAAAGCAAGTAATACAATGGTGCTTGTGTCATGTCAACTGAATTTAGCACATATAAGAAAATGGTTATAAAACGTGGATAATCCAGGAAGGAAGTTAAACTTACGGATTGTTCCAATCAGTGGTATCCTCATTGACAAGATGGGTCCACTTCGTCCTTCCACTACGACCAAAATGTTTGACCTGCATGACCTTGGGTAATATTGTTTTGTCCATCTTATCTTCTCCAGTTGGGGCAGAGACATCACGTGTGTAAATTCCATCAGTTCCAGCCGTTGCTGCATAGTCATCAGCATCTGACTGGAAGAAAGCACCTTTGTGGTAATATTTCTGCATGAACCTCCACTTCTGCTTTGGTCGTGGTGCAGGTCTTGGATTCTTTCTCTCCCACTCCCTCCTCTCTTCTTCTGTCATGTTTCTGACCCTTTCAATCTCTTCTTTTTCCTTCAACATTGCTTCCCGATCTTCCCTATCCCTTTTGATCCTGGCAATCTCTCGGGCCTTCCAAGCATCATACTCTTCTGCCTCGTTTACTTCATCATCAGTATCAATATCTTCAATATTTGCTTCCAGTTCCATACCCTTCTGAATCTCTTCATCCTTCCGAATCTCCTCAACCACAATCTGCTTTGTCTCTCTCTTCCGTTCCGCCAATTTCTTCTTCCTAGATTCCTCAAGGGCCCATTCTTCAGCCTCAAGTCGCTCACGCTCAGCAATAGTATCTCTCTCCGACTTGGGAACAAAGACAGGCTTTAGCATCACCATACCAGTAAGCTCTTCGTCCGAGTCAGTATCATACTCAGATTCCTCTTCCTCCTCTTCCTGTACATCTTCCTCATCTTCTGAGGGAAGGAGTTCTTCTTGCTCCCTCTGAAGCAACCTCTCCCTAATCTTCCTTCTTCTTTCTTCCTGGGCATCTGCGTCCTCTTCCTCTGCTTCCAACCCTTCCTGCCTCTTGGCTTCCTCTTCAATTGTTGAAACAATCTCAGCTTGCCGGATACGCCTATGATCAGCTCTAACATCCTCACGATTATCTATCCTGCTCTCAGCCAAACGACGCAGTCTAGGATCATCTTTCCTAACAATGTCAGAATCGTGAGTGGGAAAACCGGGCACCTTGGACATCCTAAACTCCCCATCCTCGTCGGCATCATCTGCCCACTCAGGAGCTTTTCCAGGCCAATACCTTTTAACCTTAGTTTGCCCAATTTTACCTCTGAGCTTATCCCTCACTGCAATCACAGTATCACTTACACCTGCTGTTACTGACATTTTTGCACTTTACACACAACCCGGCATAAAAGACTCAAAGTACCGGCATAAAAGACTCTATAGTCATCCCTCTTTCCACTCCTACCAAGCAATGTACAATCCAACTTTCTTAATCTCGTTTACAAACTGCTGAGAAAGGACATGACAAAATTTTAGCCCAAAAGGGTGAAAACCTACGAATAATTCAGAAATTATCAACATCTAAGCAAATTCAGATGGGACTACAGTAAAACAACACTACCCAAATACATAGATGCACAACATACGAGTTCCAAGAATAAAAAAGGGGAATTAAAATATAAAAACCTGAATTCAAACAGAAAGCAATGCTTACACTGTGATAATTACGGTTGAGATAAGCGACTTAAACTAGGGAAAAAAATATAAAATTAAAACCCTAATCCGTAGATTCTGAGAAATACAAAACCCTAATAAAACTGATGCGACCGAACATAATTGTGATGAAAAAATCAGAGAAATTAAGAAGAAAACCAAGCGAACGCGATTACAGGAAACAAAGAAGAGACCTACATGATGGGAGAACAAGCGGGGAAGACGCCGCACGCAGGAGGAGGAGGCGTGATAAGACCCTTGATCGACTTCTCTATTCTTCTGGGGAAATTTGAAAAACTAACCAAATTTTGGATAAGTAGAATATTAGCCACTTTTTTTAAATGAGTGCTATTAAGCCCACCCCTTTCCCCATCTTCCCACCCCACTTAGGGCGGTTTGGTATTGCTGTGTTTTGAAAAAAAAAAACTGCTTCTGTTATACTGTGAGAATAAGCAGTGAAATAAAGCAGTAAAGTATTTGGTAAACTTTTTTGTAAAAGTGCTTTTGAAAAAAGAAAACAGTATTATAGTGTTTGGTAAACTTTTATGTAAAACATATGTGAAAAAAAACCAGTTTTTCAAAGTTGAGTTTTGCAGCTTCTTGCTTTTGGCTTTTTTTCATCCAAAACTGTGAAAAAAAGCTGAAGCTGAATGTTTACCAAACACAAAAACAGCTCCCAGCTTTTTTTTATATCAATTTTTTTTCAGAATCATCTCAATACCAAACCAGACCTTATTTTGTCACCCACTATTAAAAGTAAAAACAATGAGATACTATCTCTACACCCACCTTTATTCCTAAAATAACCTGAATATTTTAAATTCCTAACAATAAATAAAAGATAAAATAACAATTTTTTTTGTTTGTTTAATCAGCTCATGATTTGACACACCCCGATCGAAGTCGAGACGTGTTGGCCGTCACGTGAGCGTGACGTAGCCTTGAGCGCAAGCGGAAGCGATAAAGAGTAAGGAAGATACGAACAAATTTAAACCAAGTAACTAGCAATTCCAGTTAAGAAAGGATGCTAGTGAGGGTCTAAGTGTATGATTACACTTTCAGAGCAATAAGAAGATCTAGTTGCAGTCAAGTAGGACAATTACTAAGATACAACACCCTCAGATGAATCCTACTTTTCGGATTCTGTCATAACACCGTTGAATTCCTCATGGCCACCAAAACTCAGCAACCTAAAACATGGAGAAGCGAAAAACAAAGTTGAGTGGGTCAGTAAAACACATTTACACAAAAACTTTATTTTCCTTTGAATATACTAACTCCTAGCCGTAAAACAAGTATATAGATATTTTCCCAAAAAATAGAATACTTAAATATGTATATATCTCAAATCATGCTCAACAATCAAGATTGATATTTGAAGGTATGCCATGCCTATATATGATAGAATAAGCAATTCAGGTAAGAATAGTTTCATAGAAATATAACATATTAGCCGAAACCCCTGTGTTAGTCTATACAGCTGAATTCATAGCTCAAGAGTTAATCTAACCGGAGTCACTACAATGACCTATACGGCAATATACTGCACAAGAGTCGGAACCAAATGCAAAGGTTTGTACGACGATAATGGGTGTAATATAATTATGCTCAATACTACTCTCACATAATAGTTGGGCGATAAATCGCTAGTCACCTACGAGTCGGAACCATAAATAAGGTCTGTACGATAAGACTATGCACCTAAATTGGATCCAATGTAAGCATATGGTGCGGATGTGACATAATAAATAGGCCTGTATCATATCTCTGGCTAAATCACAATCACCTTAGGTGCAGTTTTATGAGCTCAACATTATCCAATCACATATCACATCATTGACAATTCACATAATTAAAACATAACTCACCTGAGCTTACCTGGCCTCCACAGCACCATGCGACAATGTGCATAATTATGATAATGCATATACTAAAATAAAATATAGGCATTGGCATAGCATGGCATTTAAATCACATTTCCTTTAAATACGTTTTCTGGGAAAAACGTCAAGTGTATATATATATATATATATACATACATAGAGCTTAAAGGGAGGGATCCCCATTTTTTGAAAAAAATGAGGATTAGGTGTGGGGGCCCACTTCACATCTAATTTCAACGATCCGAACCGTCTATTTTGTTAGTCTCGATTCATAGATCATCCTTGCAAAATATTAGCAAAATTGGAAATGTTTAAAACTTCTAATTGGGTTCAAGGAAATGAACGAATACTTTGTTATATAAGAAAATATGAAATTTGATATTGATAATTAAATAGGCAAATGGTTTCGGATTGAATTGAATTTTTGCAAGGATGATCTATGAATCGAGACTAACAAAATAGACGGTTCGGATCGTTGAAATTAAATGTGAAGTGGGCCCCACACCTAATCCCCATTTTTTTCAAAAAATGGGGATCCCTCCCCTTAAGCTCTCTGTATATATATATATATATATATATATATACATATATATATATACTGAAAATAACTGCCTACTCGCATATATGTTGATGGGTCGTAGCCCCCGAGCCCCGATTGATTACGCACGTCCTGAGAATAGGTCTTAATTGACGCTGTCAGGTATATTCCGGAATATTCCGTTTATTCCTTAACAAAATTTAACGGCGCGACCTAACACCGTTAGAATATTCCATTAAACTTAATGGAATATCCTCTCGTCTTCTACCTTCAACTCCGGCGACCGTCGTCGTCGCCGGAAATTGGGAAACTTTCATTTCCTTATATGTTCTTCATTTTTAACCCAAAATTTATGAAACTTGAACCATTTTAAAGATCTCACAACGATGAACAAAACCATACCTGATTCGAGCTCTGAAACTAGCGGAATCCCGTCGGAAAAAGCTTCGATAATCCGGAAAACCTTAAAACTCGTCGTTCTCACGATTCCGACGTCCAATTTCTTCAAACGAAGTACTCCGAGCTTTGTAAGGACCTCCTTAAGCTCCCTATGTCTTTTAAATTCCCTAAAAATCAACATTTTATGTGAACATGAATAGTACCTCAAATCGAGGTTTGTGGTTCGACGTGGTACCTTTGAACTCGTAAGGACCTTAGGAACACATGAAGGGTAATAATGAGATTTATGTGGGATTTCTAGTGACTAGCATGCATATACAATTCAAGATTTATATACATTTGCAACGGAAGCATGTTATAACATAATATCAAAGTTATAGTCATGCAAATCCCCTTCAAGAAGCATAGGTTCATATATGATGCATCTAAGAAAATATTGAAGAACAAAGTGAAGGTATAGTTTTATACCTCTTGATCTAGACTTGAGACCAAGGATGGACCACCTCCAAGCTCTTTGTTCTTGGAACTCCTTGAGTCTAGCCTCCCTCCTAGCTTCCTCCACCTTGAAAGATTTAGAGCTCCTTTCTCCTTTAGTCTCCAAAGTAGAAGACCTCTAAAGATCCACACCCACTAGTGTAGTGAGATGGATAATGGAATAACCAAAGGGAGAGAAGATGATTAGCTAAAATCCCCTTTGGTGGCCGGCTATTTGTGTGTAGAGAGAGAGAGACTTGTTTTTCTCTTTTGTGAAAAAGAACACACAAAAACCCTAATGAAACTTTTTCACTAAACTTCCTTTATAAATGTCAAAGAAGTGAGTCAACCACTTGACTCCCTCTCTCTCCTATCACTAGTATTGGCCGGCCCCCTTAGTGTGGGTTTGGACTTTGGGCTTTTATCATCTCAAGTCATTCTATGCTTGAATAAAAGGACCCAATTCATTTGGGCATTATGGGCCCGAATGAACCCGAACTTTTCTTTAAGTCCTAAACGATCTTTTATCGTTTATATGATTTCTTTAGACTTTCTAATTAATCATAACACTTAATTAATCCAATTAATTAATTCCATCATCCTTTAGTGGTCTCACCACAAGAGTGTTTCGGTGTACAATCATTTTAGGTTCTAATTAGCAAGACAGTGAGGTGATTGGTATCAATCCAATTGATTATTATTTATCCAATCACTTAGTGAATTAAAACTTACTTTTAATTCTCCTTCTTCTTTGATGAATACTTATTTGATCATCTAGAAGAACTCACAAGCCATGAGTGACATTTAACCATATATCATGGCTACCCAAGCTAATGTAGAATTTGTTCGGAGAACCTATTCAGTTGGAATTACAATGTAATTCGATTCTTCTCTAATACAATACTCACAATCACATTACTAGGGTATGGATATTTAATGTCAAACCCCTACTGTGATTATATCAAGTTATATGATTCTATTAAGTCGTATAGGAACACTTTCCATCATTACGCTCGATACTTCGGCCGAAGATTCCTGAATCATATCTTAGAGTATTCATCCTCTCATAATGAGGATTAGAGATCCCTTGTTGATCATTCACATGCCTCTGAGAATAAATCATTGACCCCAACAATGCATAGAACACATCCAAGATGAGATGTGGTCACGTCTCATTATCAAATGATCAGTAACGTATCCCCAAGACAACTATGATGTCTCAAGTCAAAGGATTACTTACATTATTCCAACCAGTAGAGTTACTTGCTTGACATGTGAGTAGACCTCCATGCAAGTACTCTCGTTTGATTGTGTTCAGTGAACTCATTCCCATAATGAGCACCTACATACTTGTCTTAGTGTCACTGCACGAATGGCATGAGACTTTCCATCCTTCCCATTGGAAGGGGACATAGTATGTACTGGTCTTTGTATTGTCAGTGTCCCTCTGACAATCCTATGACTAGGAACCTTTTTGGACATCATGGTTATGTGAAGAAGGTCTCTGCAGTCTAACATCATTAGATTACTTCTTCCATCGATCCATTGTCCATGGATTCACTCTTTATGACGTATATCGTTTATTGAGATAGTCTTAATGAGTGACTTTGCCTTTTGATGTATTAGAGTTTTCCATACATATAGACATTGTCCTGAAAGGTTTCTTCCAAAGATTGACTTTCAGGGCATATCTCCAACAACACAATGGTACCATTTTTTTTCTTTGATCTGTCACGTTTACAAGGGTTTCTGGTTGTGTCCGTACAAGAGAGGAAGAGAAGGAGAGTGAGTCTGAGAGAGAGAGGGCACAGGAGAGAGAGAGAAAGTGAGGTGTAGTGTGTGGACCAAATCTCTCCAACCAATCAAAATTTAGTCTTTCTTAGTTCCTAAGTGGTTCCAAAAACTTAGGAAATCATAATTAAATCCAACTTAAATACAAGTCATACACCACACAACTTAACTTCCAAGGGTAAACTAGTAATTTCACGTCAACGAAAATTATTTTCCGGAACGGATTGTCACATGATTT